GGGTCAGAGGGGACGGACAGGTGTGTGGAGGAGGTGAGAGAGGTTGTGAATGGTCTTAAATGATAACAGGAGGATTCTGAATTGGACCTGAACCGGAGCCGGTGGAGCTGCTGGAGTGATGATTCGGGTTCTGATGCTGAACTCTGGACCAGTTGGTCATGAGCTGTATGGAGACGATCACACAGTAACAAGCAGGTGTGTATGGGACACGCTCCTTCACAGCCAGCTTGTTTCAGATCAATTGGCGATCCGATCAACTGGCGATCCTAGCGACAGATGTTTCGTAGGCGTGGCTTTTCAGGACCCCTTACCCACTAACCAGGAAATAAACAATCTGACAAGTTAGTCACTTAAAATGAGATATCTGCTGTATTTTTCTTTTCGGTCTTGACAAATATATCTGGAAACAAGAGCCTTCTAATTCTAAAAGTCAGGCCGCTGTCGGGCTCGATGAAAGAAACCACGTGAGCGCAGTCGGACCCGCTGGAGCTGTGATCGCTCATTGATCACGATTAAAACATCCATCCATCCATTATCTATACACCGCTTAATCCTCACTAGGGTCGCGGGGGGGCTGGAGCCCAGACGACTTAGGGCGAAGGCAGGGGACACCCTGGACAGGTCGCCTAGAGAAAGACAACCAAGCACACTCACATTCACACCCATGGACAATTTAGAATCACCAATTAGCCTCAACATGTTTCTGGACTGCGTGGGAGGAAGAGAACCCACGCTGCACGGGAAGAACATGCAAACTCCACGCAGAAAGATTCCGGTGGCCCCACCGGGACGTGAACCGGCAACCTTCTTGCTGCGAGGCAACAGTGCTACCAACTGCGCCACCTTGCAGCACGATTAAAACATGTTAGTAGGAAAGCAACAGAGACAGGAGACCAACGCAGTGTTATTCTTACATGAAGGCTACTAAACCGTGTGGTAACAGACCGCCAAGTGTTTAGTATAACATCAATACATTGACATGATGTAGGCAGATTTAGATCACATTGCGTGACACTGGCTTATTTAAATTCACAAAAATGAAATGTTTCACAGGATAGAAAAGTGTTCCAGGTTAACTGAGGATGTATTTACCCTCCAGATGATCCGTTTGCAAAGTCGTCACAATCAGACCTGTCTGTGTGTGAAGATAAGGATATAAAGCTATAAAGAAGACCTCGCGACAAAAGTAAACATTAACACTACATCCATGCCAATATTATCTACAAACAGCAAAACCAAACATACTGACCAAAATAAACAAACATGTATTTTTTAAGTCCGGTGGGAGGATTCGAAACCACGTCGTTCAGATGCAAAAACACGGTGTCGGTGCTTTACGCACTGTGCCACCAATCAGCTCGATTACACTGCCTTCATTTCTGACCCATTTCCTCCATAGAGATCGTTTCCATTTAGCCAGATGTTTAACACCTGGTGATTACTCAGGAAACACGCCCAGATCAACTGGCGACAGTCACAACTTAACATCCAGAGATACGGAGCAGAACTTCACGCTTAACTCAGGTTTGTTCACCGAAACACACACAGCACAACATTAGTCTGGTTTGATAGAATCATCAGAACAAACAGAGGCCACGTTGTCACAACAACTCACTGAGAAAACACTACAAACACGTCCAGTCCTCCACGTCCTGACCTGTAATTTCAAACGATGTTAATCGCGAACACACGCAGACAATGGACTGAAATTTCCATCAAAAAGCCAGAATATTAGTGTTTTATAGGCTTTACATGACGAGCTACAGGCGCCTATTGGTGCTGTTAAACTACCGGTAAACTTGAACGTTAAATATTCCTGTCAGAAATACGACAGCAGGATCACTTCAGTGTCTGTGTAGACCAAAGAGGACCAGCAGCATGTCATTAAATAAAAATACTCTCAAACATACAGTTCACTGTTCAGCCACGATGTGACCTCCACATGTCCAGACTGTGTGCTGATGATATGCAGTGTTTGGTTGAGTAGGAATGAGAATCCAGTTTGTTAAGTGTGAAGGGTTATTCGTTGTGTTTTCTAAGAAGTGACAGAGAAAAAAAAATACAGTCAGCGGTTCAGATTGTGTGACATTACAGTCTAGGACGTGGAGGACTGGACGTGTCTGTAGTGTTTCCTCAGTGAGGAGTTCTGTTTGTTCTGAAGATTCTATCAAACCAGACTAATGCTGTGCTGCGTGGTGTTGTGGTGGGAGACTGATGTGTGTGTTTCAGTGAACAGACCCGAGTTAAGCGTGAAGTTCTGCTCTGGATTTCTGACACTGAATGTACAGAAAAACACACAACACAACACAACTTGCTTCTATGTCGTGTGTTTTGCTGGTCAGACTATAATATGTTTTGTTTGTCGTTATTAAGCAGGCAGTGTGTGTCTGTGTTAAGTTGAGACTATCACCAGTTGATCTGGGCGTGTTTCCTGAGTAATTATCAGGTGTTAAACACCTGACAGAATAGAAATGATCTATAGGAATGAGAATGATTTCCAATCGAGCTGATTGGTGGCACAATTAGTAAATCGCCGAACTTGCTTTTTTTTTTTTCCATCTGGACGACGTGGTTTCGAATCCTCCCACCGGACTTCAAAAATACGTGTTTTTTTATTTTGGTCAGCATGTTTGGTTTTGCTGTCTGTAGATGATACTGACATGGATATAGGCTTCATTAACTAGTGATGTTCACGTTTGTCGACGAGGTCTTCTTCGTGTAGTATCTTTATCGTCACACGCACACACAGGTCTGGTTGGGATAAATTTGCAAACGGATCATCTGGAGGGTAAATACAGCAAACACCGTCAGTTAACTTGGGTCGCCAGTTAAACTAGAACGTGTTTCTGTCTCACCGTCGGACTGACACCACATACTATCACAAGTTAATCTGGTCAGACTGTGACTCCACCACAGCTCAGCGATGTTTCCACTCCACCGGGTGAAGCTCTCTTCAAACCGTGTGTTTTGCTTGTAGGCTGAACGGCCTTGACTCACAACAGAGCGATAAGTGGACCCAGTGTTAAAGCTGACAGCAAGAACATTTTGCAAGAGTTTATAGACGTTTGTGTTTTTTGAACAGGCGTCTTCACAGTCACCTACAATCTACATTGCCGCTGGAACAGCTGCCTCGCTGACTGAATATCGCCAGCTGATCGGATCGCCAGTTGATCTGAAACAAGCTGCTGTGGAGCACCAACACGGATCCAGAGCAGCAGAACCGCAGCCTCACCGAACCACAACAGGCGGACAGTGCCTCTCAGGTGGAACCCGTCAGTAAACTGGGTCGTGTTGATAATGACGCGGACGTCTGAGTCCTGTGACCACAGACTCGCAGGACTCTGATGACTTCACAGTGGACCTGGACCTGTTCGGTGGAGCGACACCGATAAACGGCTCCAGCAGCACCTGAAGACTGCTACCTGCTACCTGCAACCTGACTTCATTCAGCGGACACACTGACCACTGTCACATTCAAGGTGTCAAACAAAACCCGATATAAAGCAACATCAGCCTTTGAGCCGAACCCAGTTTTATAGCATGTTTAGCTAACAGGGGACGCTCCGGGCTCTCGGTGCCGGACGGTACTTCCGCTCCAGCTCGCTGTCCAGACCCGGGAGCTGTTTACAGGGACCGAAGAAACCAACGAGGGCGCACAAACACAACAAAGATAATATTAATACTCAGATTTCAAATGGACTTACGCTGTTGTGGTCCCACTTCCTCCTCCGTCCTCTTCTTCTTCGTCCTCTGGTGGGCGGTGGGATACCAGCTCAGAGGTGCGTCAGCGCCCCTTGCTGCACCGGAGGGTGGCGCAGAGGCGAAAAGCAGAAAAACACACAACAACAAAAACACTTAAAATTCTGTCAGTAAGTCCTGCTGGTGCTTCATTAGGTGACTGTTGTGACGACCCTCCCAGCAAACACATACACAGTGCACCTAAATGAGCTTCTTTACTGCTGAGGTCAGTTCCCTCCTTCCCAGTTCACAGCACCTGCATTCCAGCAGCACAGGCTGAAGGTAGGATGACCCCAGCGTGCACGTAGGATGACCACAGCGTGCACGTAGGATGACCCCAGCGTGCACGTAGGATGACCACAGCGTGCACGTAGGATGACCCCAGCGTGCACGTAGGATGACCACAGCGTGCACGTAGGATGACCCCAGCGTGCACGTAGGATGACCACCGTGTGCACGTCTAGCAGTTGGTGTTTCCTGATTTTATGAAGTGTCTGTGGTAGTCCTATCCTGATGTGGGCGACGGCTCCTTCTTCTCCATCATATGTTTGTGAATATGACACAGATGTCTTCCTGTGTTGTTCATGTTCCAGTTTTCTTGCATTGTTCTTTTATTTATTGTCCTGTTCTGCAAGATGGTCTTAGTTGGGTGGGAGCTACTATGCCTTTTTAGGTTTACTCAGTATGCTAACATGAACTTTTTTCTCCTGACTTATATTTACAGAGCAGCAACTGGAGCTGTTTTACAAACTCCAGCCTTGCACCTGCTCCACGTCTCTGCTTCTGATGAGTCGGCTACACAGCCCTAGTCTAGTGTGGCCCTCATAGGGCTGACTAAGTGCTCTCCAGTCTCGTCCTGACATCTGTTAATCTTCCTTTTTTTGTAACAATATGCTGCCTCAATGTCAGTTTTCTGAGAAATAGCATTCCAGCATATCTAATTACAGCCACCTGTTTGAGGTCACTGTGGGAAATGGGTACAAATGGTTCGCTGAGTGTTTCAGGTTGCTGGCCCCTGGTCTACAGGAGTCTGAACCTGAAACCTCAAACAACGCCTCGCTGTGGCCCCTTCTCAGAGTGGTTTAATTTTGGGATGAGTGAAAATGCACAAAAAGACATACGTTTAGTGTAGTGACTCAGGAAGACATTCAAGGCCTATAAACTGGTGACCTTGAGACAAAGGTCAAGATCACACTGACGGTCTCAAATCATCACAAACTTTAAATCCATTTTAACCTGGAAAAGGTGTCAGATAAACACATCGTTTCTTGTCACAATCAGACAGGAACCCATGTTGGTGATGTGACGTTTGACCTTGGACCACAGGTCAAGGTCAGACTAAAGGTCATACATCTTAGGTGCTTGGCGTAAATTACAGCAAATCGCTTCCCCTCCATGCAAAGTATCTGTGTTACATGACAGACTGAGCTCTGGTTACATTATGGATCACTGTAAGGCAAAATCAAGGCGAGTTAGGGTTAAACCCTAATCCTTCTACTGGACGGTTAGGGTTAGGGTTAAACCTAACCCTTCTACTGTAGGGTTAGGGTTAGGGTTAAACCTAAGCCTAAGCCTAACCCTACAGTACAGTAGAACAGGATCAGGTCAACATGCATTCATCGGCAGCTGTGTCTGTCCCCTGAGAGCTCGCTAGTTATTACTGCACATTTAACTTCTGGTCAAAATATTGAAACATTGCTTTACGTAGCTTTGCTAAAGTATACTGTGTGTTTCTTATCCACACCCCCATGACCCTCCTCTGTTAGTGCCTCACCCAGACCTTGATCCACATGGGTTCAGGAAAAAAAAAGAAAAAAGAGCCAGTCTCAGATTTGTACTCATATTTTACTGGTCTTTCCAAGAGGAAGCATCCATTTTTTCAAGACAATGAGAAAAAGAAAAAGCACAGAGAATGTGCAACCAGCTATTAAAACAACAGTTTGGCAAAGTTTTACATATCGTCTACACTAACTTAAAGAAAAGTGATGTGATGCTACTGTGGCTGATCAGACACAGACGTGTGGCCATTCAGTGTCAAACAGCATGCCATTACACCACAGTGCAGCCAAACAATACAGATGCAATACAATCAAATGTCAGGTTGTAAGCCAGCGTAGCACGTCGCTAACAAGCGGTCCTTCTTTAGAAACACCACCTTCCTTCATAAATAAGACTTTTAAAGGAAAGATACGAGAGGAGTCCTGAACTCGGAGGTTTTTCAGTCCGTCTGAACATCAGTGAGTGAATCAGACAAGCGTTGGTGTCGGTGCCCCATCAGGAAGTAGCTGCATCGCCGTGACCACACCTGTTCTAACATGGCACTCTGCCAGAGAGAGGAAAGGAAACTAAGGAGAAAACAGTATCAGCAACACTTAGAAGCCTATCTAAAATACCATATGAAATAAGGGTTTTTCTCCAGTGAGTAGGGACACTACATCCTGCCAATACAGGAACTCGTCACCCTCTAGCAGAAAGCTACAACTGTCTGGGTGAGTCACCTGTTCTGCTGCATTCTGCACGGTTGAGAGGATAAATATGGCTTTCATCACGTTTCGTTGTCTAGAGAGACGGTAATGTGTTAAGTCTAAAGACCAGGAGCAGAGGGACACTGGAACCTCGTTCCATCACAAGTTAAACGACAAGTGGATCAGGAAAGCCGAGTCCTTTGCTAAGTCAATCTCGAAATTTAAAATAGTAATGTGGGTCTCCCTCAGAATTTAATGGGCTCTTCCTGACCTCGGGCTCCACCTTCCACCAAGTTAAATAAAACTTGGCCTTGTAGTTTTACTGTAATTTTGCTAACATAACCGTCTTATGGACGTTCTGACTTGGACTAGTCTCAGACGTGGCCTCTGGTGCCACCTGGTCCTTGGTCCAGATGACCACTGGTTGCTTTTCTTTTTCTCCCCTGACCAGTTGGTTGGCTGCTTCCCTTGCAGACAGGAAAGACTGGTTGAAGGTTTAGGACTGATTATTTTCTATGAAGGTTTTTTACTGCAGAACAACCAAAACTCCAAACTTGTAGCTTTTAACATTGTCAAACTAAAGCACCAAGTTTTGTTTGTTTTCTGTTTCTGTTACACTTTTAACTTTTCTGAAGTCATGAGTGAAGAGAGTGATGGACAACAGCTGACACCAGGAGGAAGGCTGTTCTGCCTCGTATGCCCAGCTCCTCTGGAATCAGCCTTGAATTGATCCCAAAACTACTTTGATCAAGGACTGGTCTGACCCTGGACCCACCTACTGCCCTGGTTCCAACATCTCTGTGCTGTGTCAAACATTTTATTTTGCATAGACATTCTGGGAAAAACAACAGAATGGTTGGATTTGCAGTTAATGATGAGGCTCATGTGGAACATACTGGGTCTGTTCTGACTTTACTGTGGCGCTCAGCGAACTAAGACTGTCTGTTAGCCGCTGGTTCATTTGTGATGGAGCTACGTTAGCAGTCCCCCCTGCCTCAAGTCCTTTAGCTAAATCACACTAGCCTCATCCCCCACGCGCCTTTCTCCTGGATGCACCAGGACAAACGTTGTCCTGTTTGACTTTGAATCAGATGGCACATGAGAAGACTTCCAAAGTGTTCTGATGTTTCTCAAACAGCAATCTGGTCCAGAAACCTCATTTCATTTCCCATCACTTTTAGATCAGTGTTCTGGTGTTGATCACAAAAGACAACCTGAGACAAGCTCTTGTGACTGACAGGATCTAGTTCAAGCTTTAAAACGTCGAGCGCATCCCAGAAGTCATGAGTCAGCAAAACAACACAACAGTTAAGCTCAGAGACAAGGCGGCGTTTCACTGAGTTCCTATGTCTTAGTCCCAACGATGCAAACAAAGTCATGACGGCATCTCCTTTACAGATAAGCAAGCCACACACACACACACACGCACACCCACACACACACACACACCAATGTGTTCAGTCTTAATGGTAAAATTAAACTTTACTGAAATATAAAATAAGGCAATGATGAGCTATGCCAGTTAACAAAACATATCCTGGAATGCATGAGCCTTGCTACACAAACGGAGGATCATTCATCCCACCAGACGTCGTGTTCTACGGTGAGATAGCAGCAGCACATCACACAGAAACATAAAGGTATATCAAGGTATGAAAATAAAAACTACACCAAGTAAAACTGTATGAAAAATATATTACGTACATATGCATAAATAAACTAAGTTGAATTGTAATCCATTTCAGAATGATATCGGAAAAAGAACTCAAATCAAAGCGAATGAACACAGTTACTGAAGGCCTGTAACCGTATCGCACATCCTCTGAAGGCTGTCGTCGTGTCACACTGTCCGTTGTAAATAAAGTTAACATAAATTGCTCCAACTCTCCGTGAGCGCTGCCCCTGTGCTTTAATACCATGCTGTAATGTCATGGTGTCCGTTGTCCATAAGGTCTGTAAAACATAGCGCTCGGCACATCTCGACATTCCACAGGTGGTCTCATTACTTCGTTACTACTTCCTATGATGAGAAAACTACACACATCCTAACGCCACATGTACACGCTGCTCAGATGAACCACTCCTTCTTGCTCTCGTCGATGGTCTCGGTGAAGGCCGGGTCGTTCACGATGATCGCTGCGTCGGCGCAGTCGGCTGACTCTGCTCCCTTGGCCTCGTTGGTGTGGTAGGAGCCTTTATGACGAAACATGTGACGGATCACAAACACCATGATGCAAAGGACGGTGAAGATCACCATGGAGATGATACCTGGAAACACACACATCAGCACTCACTGAGCAGACTGAACAGCTGAAGCGTCTCTGAGGTCTGTCCGTACGACGCTAAGCGCTGTGACAGAACGCGTGTTGTGGACTGAAATATTCTGTCTGATGCTGGAATCAAATGTTGGTCAGAACTGCAGCAGCAGAGGTCCAAAAAAAACCCAAAAAACACCTTCCCCATAAACAATACACACAGATGTTGTTAGATCCTCCCTTGCTGGGAAGCATCCACGTCTTCAGACACCTTTAACATGCAGCCCAGGCTTTCTGTTAGTCGGCTCTCCATCAGGATACATCAGAAACCCAACAACCCTGCTGACAGCCCTAGAACACAACCGGGGACGACAACACTGCTTTTCACCGCCTCATCCTCAGTCACATGTGTGTGTGTCGTTCAAACTCATGTCCATCCCCTCACAGGGCCGGCTGGAACTGTTGGACTGAATAAATGTGCCGACTCCTTAACATATTGGTAAATCATTGTCTGTGCCTTTGATTGTTATTCATTCTATGTAACGCTATTGTGCATGCCTTTATCTAAACGTAAAACACACGTAGCAGGGCTCCAGACTAACTGTAGCATGGTGCTGACAACTTTCTTCATTGGTCCCACCAGCTAATGATCTGGTCGCCCACCCCCTTATACTGGATCAGCACAGCCACAGCTGTTAATGCACCCTGCAGTTGATGAACAGCTGTTTCTGCATAACTTAGTTATGCTGCAGTGACCTGCAGTGATACAAGACCAGATATTTATAAAATGTTTTAACCTGAAAATATATTTATTTTGTCACCGATCCTCTTCTGATGTCACTCATTAACTGGACACACAGCTGCTGAACATGTGCATGGGTTGATGCTACATTTTCCCGATGTTCCATGAACGCCTCACATGGTGGTAGGGGCTGCGATGTGGCTGTAGTTTGCTCAGACAGCTGTGAGCAAAAAAAAAGCTTGAAATAAGTGAAATAAAATGTTGTAGAGGTAGATCTGTCCAAGACGAAGACGAATGATTTGATCCACATGCG